AATAATAATAATAATAATAATAATGATAATGATAATAATAATAATAATAATAATAATAATAATAATAATAATAATAATAATGAAATTTGATAATAATACTAAATATCATTGTATAATTAAAGCTCCGAATATTATTCTATTCTATATTATAAGACGTTTTAACTATTGAATCATGACAATATAAAAATAGGCTGTAAAATAAAAAAAAGATAAACTAATTCTGAAGTCGGAGATGCTACCTCAATGTGGTAGACTGGTGTCAACATCACTAGCGGTAAAAGTTAGGCCTAATAATAATAGTTAATAATAATAGTAATAATAATAATAATAAAAATAAAAATAATAATAGGCCTAATAGTTAATAATAATAGGCCTAATAATAATAATAGTAATAATAATAAAAATGAATGATAATAATAATAATGATATTAATAAAATAATGATAATAATAATAATAATTATAATAATAATAATGAAATTTGATAATACTAAATATCATTGTATAATTCAAGTTCCGAATATTATTCTATTTTATATTATAAGACGTTTTAACTAATGAATCATGACAATATAAAAATAGGCTGTAAAATAAAAAAAAAGATAAAATAATTCCAGTCTGAAGTCGGAGATGCTACCTCAACGTGGTAGACTGGTGTCAACATCACTTGGTAACCATGTTATCATCATGGAACCAACGATGGCTAACAGCATCACGCTTTAACATAATTAGGTCTTCACTATCATCATCAAATATGTTGCAAGCTTCTGGATATGTGCATACTGGTGAATGACATTTATAAACAATAGAAATAATATTGGTCTAACAACATTCTAAACAAATTGCTTTATTTGATACCCGACATTTTGCTACTTGCTTACGTATCAGTTAACTCTTGAAGAATTATTAATATAAGTTATTTTAATGACCATCATTTTTTAATTGATTTAGAAGACGGGTGTGGTCAGTAGAGTCGAGGGATTTAGATGTCAATAAAACAGAATCTAATCAGGTCATAGAAGTTTAGACTTTTCATCTATTTATTTATATCTCGATGAAGGCATGTGACGGTGGAGTGGGCCGAGTTTCTTTGAAAATTCTTTACCAGGACCCAATCAGTTCATAGCCGTTTACGTTTTAATATTTCGATGAAGGTATGCCAGGGGAGGATTAGGGCCTCTCCCCCCCGTTTTTTAGGAAGTAAAAAAGAAGAAAAAAAAGTAAGAAAAGAAATTATTGATCGCCCAAAACTCCTCAGGTCATTTTCCGGGCGTCTAGAAAACATAAATTTCGCGGACCCTCTAGGGTAGTTTTGTCTCTCGATGGCCCCCCACCCCTCCCTCCCCCCTTTCGGACATCTCTGGATCCGATGCTGTATGTGACGATGGATCGAGTGAGTTTTATTTAATAATTAATTTTGTTTATATTACAAATTTCGGAAATATTATTATGTCGTACCAAAAAGCAGGTCTATGTCTATATCTCATTAAACGACTTATATTTTAAACAACTCATATTGCTTCTTTGTGCATTTTCTTGCCTCTTTTTGGAGTTTGGGGGGGGGCCCCCCCCAACCCCCCCCCCCCCCCCCCCAGCAGCACATGCCATAGAGCATGTGCATACGGTACACATTGGGTCGCGGAGGTACCCGTATAAAAAGGTCACCTTTGGCTAAAAACAGACCCACCTCCCTTGGAAGTCTGGCTACGGGCCTGTTATTCAAAAGGTAATTTGAATTTCACTTGCAAAGGTCTTTCTAAAATTATAGTTAAAAACTTATCAGTATTCAATATTATGCTTTAAAATATTCTGTTATATGGCAATACTTGCAGCATTTGGCCGACTGCGCTTCACAGATTATTTAAATGATACACTTGGGCGGATCCATAGGGGATGATGGTCGTCGACATCCGAACCCCGTCCCCATTACCACCACCCTTAACATGTAGAGTGCGTTTTAGCTGGCAAAAAAGTGTACAGATGTTGGTTAAATAGTCAGGAGCTTTTTTAGTTTTTTTAGTGGTTGGGGTCATTTATGAGAATAATTTTCTGCTAACATTATTGTTGGCTTTTAAGTCTCTCAAAAGATGCGGGTTACAAGATAGAAGACGTTTCTCGATGTTATTTTAACTTATGTTATTTATACCCGCGTTCCCTTCTCTTTCTACACTCCTTCCTGCAAATATATTGACCTGCCCCATTATCTCACAGCCTCGCAAATATGTATAATAGGTGTAGGAGTCAATGAGCCGGGGCGAAAAAAATCATGAAAGATCATGATGTTCAACACAATGCACCGACGTAACCGATCTCAGTGCGCGCATCTTATTATGACGTTCTCGTTCGTAAAATCGAACTTGCTGCTGACTGGTCATCACTAAGTTGCGTATCGCGTACTTTAGAACGTAACACCTTCGCAACAAGTTCCATTCTTCAAACAAACCACCTCAGAAGGATTTTATCTTTCAAATGTTCAGATCTATTCACAATTGCTCTCAATAAAAGCTAAATAATCATCGTTTTGCACTCACTGCCTGCCATAAAAGTAAGTAGAACTCTAACTTGAACAAGTTCTGGTTGCTTCGAGTTGAATTGATTGAATGACGAAGACGAATATGAAAAGAAAGCGATCATCAACAGAATCAACAAGTGAAAGCCAGCAGACGGGAGCCTCAGTCGCCTATCCTGTGACCAATCTGCGTGCCACCACCAGCAAGAGAAAGCCTAAGAAGAAACGTAATTTTGCTAGAAAAACAACTGGTCCAAGACGTAAACTGACTCAGACCGAACTGGATGCGGCCATTATCGTAACCCATGAGCTTGGGCAACAGATACACTTGGTGGGGCAAAATTCCACCACAAGGAACAATAATAACTCCATTTCTGAACCTACACCAGTCAAAAACGGGGGTGAATTACTGGTGATAGACCAAGAATCCTCCTGCATAACAAAGAACAATTCCATCCCTGAACCTATACCAGTCAAAATCGAGGAATATGTGGTAAGGCTAGAGGAACAACCCTCCAACACATCAAACAATGTCAATCCTATCCCCGAACATACGCCAGACACAAACGAACAACATGAATTACTGGATTACTTAAACACATTAACAGAACGAGAAAGCATTACTTCCTCAGATCCATGGGAAAAATACAGACCATTTGCAGAGCCCACAAAAGATCACATTTACAACTTTCTTTCAGTTATCTTCATCGACTTACAACGTTATGGTTATTTAATTGATGATAATGTATTTTACCATTGCGTTATTATTCTAGAAAATACTGTTCATAATTATGCTACAACTTTTAGTTTGATAGAACTTGAAGAAATGGCAATTGCTTGCATGTGCCTTGCTCTCAAGTCTTCCGACAGATATCAAGCGCGTCATATCATTCCATATGCTTGTGAATGCATTCAGGGTGGATACTTTGAACCTAAAGTAATTGTCCAAGCAGAGGCTAAAATACTAAAGATTCTAAACTTTAAGCTTAATACAGTAACCTGCGCTGATTTCATACATGTACAATGCGACATAGCAATATGTAAGACTGATAGTATATGGGATAAAAAGCTAATAGATTTAATAAGACTCAAAGCTATGAGAAACTTGATCTGCAGCCACCAGTCGTTTAGATCAGTAATACCCTCAACGATGGCATTTTGGATGTTGCAGACAACTTGTGTTCAAATGGAGTTCAACTTTGACGCCGTCTTTCCTGATGTTTGTGAAATATAGGTTCAATGTTTTGGTATTTAATGAACCTTAGGTTTTAACACTAAACAATAAGTACACCGATATAATTAAAATCGAAAGATAAATAAGGATGGTAAGTAGGCCTAAATTTACTATCAATTATTATTCGTAAATAATCTTTATGATAGAGACATAAAATAATTAATAAAATATTTGAAAGCTTTCTACAAAATAATTCAATTAGGCCTTTTTAACTTAACTTTAATATTGCTATAGTACTCTTATAGCGGCATATTTTTGCAATAATTAAGTCAGGTAAAGTATAAAGTAGTTCATAACTTTCAACAAATAAGCTCCTTGCGTGAGTATTGTTGTAACTTGGAGCAATCAGTTCACTGGAGAGACAAGAACGTACGTAAAATGTTTTGACCACACAAAACCACGTGGCCGAATATTAATCGAACCTAATAAGAATATAACGTAATCGTTTAGATTTTTAATGTGAATAATGAGCAATGAGAAGATATAAAAGAAACTAATTTCATTTGATCAAATACAAATTTGACCTCCTAAACAGTTGAAATTGGTCAAATGGATTAGGAATAGTACGGTATTTCTAGTTAGCAAAAAAAAAAAAATAAATAAATAAACAAAAAACAAACAAACAAAAAACAGCAAAACAAAAACAAACAAAATCAAAACAAAACAAAACAAACTGAAGAAAAAGAAAGTTGATTTATGAAACTTTAATTTATCTAATTCAATTTGAAAATTATAATTGCTAAATCAACCATACGTACAAAAATTAGAGTGACACAGTTGAAGATTCAACTTTTTTCATTTTAAAAGTATCATGACAAAAACGCAAGCTTTATGCTTATTATTAATAATGCCGTAATATATGAACTTTTAAATTAATAGCTTAACATTATTTCCCGGTCATTGAACCAAACACAGGTTTTGAGTATTCCAAAATGTTGCAGCTATTAATCACACAATATAATATTTGCATGTATTATATATAGGCTCAAATCAATAATTGTTTTTTACGACTAATAAATAGCGATAACAGTCATAATATAATAATATAAATAGCAATAATAATAATAATTATAATAATGATAATGATAATAATAATAATAATAATAACAATAATAATACCGTTGTATAAAATTAAATTTTGTAATTTATTCTATTCTATATATAATATATTCATAATTATAATAATATAAATAGCAATAATAATAATAATGATAATAATAATAATAATAATAATAATAATACCATTGTATAAAATTTAATTTCGTAATTTATTCTATATAAATTCGATATGACATTTAAAAATATATAAAATAAAAATAGGCTGTAAAATAGGAAAATAAAATAATTCCAGTCTGAAGTCGGAGATGCTACCTCAACGTGGTAGACTGGTGTCAACATCACTAGGTAACCATGTTATCATCATGGTACCAATGATGGCTAACAGCATCACGCTTTAACATAACTAGGCCTTTCACAATCATTATCATCATCATCATTCTATTCTAGATATGCATAAGGGGAAGATAATTTATAAACAATAAAAATAATATTGGTTCTAACAAACTCCTTACCTTGTGATACGCCAATTTAAACAATTTCTTTATATGATACCGGATAGTATATTATTATATTTTATTAGTTTTCGTTGTATCAGATAACTTTTGAAGTACTTAATGTAAGGTTATTTTTAGGAACGTAATGTTCTAATTAATTTAGAAGAAGGGTGTGTTGAGTAGAGTCGAGGCATTTAGAAATGTCAATATGACAGGATCCAATCAGGTCACAGCGGTTTAGATTTTTCATCCTATCATTTATATCTTGATGAAGGCATGTGTCGGTGGATAGGAGTGAGTTTTCTGTAAGCATTAATGAATTGATTTTTAATAGTACAATTGGAGAAATACAAGGGCATGTGGTCTATGCATCTCATTAAACGATATTATACTTTGTAACCAAAGCGTTTTCTTTGCTTCTTCGTGTATTTTCTTGTTTCCTTTTCCAGTTTACTTTTAATACAGCGTATTCGTTTACTGTTGAGTCCCTGTAGGCTACAGGGCTTCATTTCGACTAAGGTGGGGCATGCATTTCCATCATGTGTTGGTGCTTGCTTTATGTACCTAAACCGCTTCAAAATTCCCACCCCGCATCTACGTTTATCACATTTGCTCCATCTGCCCCAGGGCGTTACTTTACAATCGGTAATTATTGGTAGATCTGAAAAAAGTGGATGCATCATATAAACATTATTATCATTATTTCCATCATCATCATCATCATCATCATCATCATCATCATCATCATCATCATCATCATCATCATCATCATCATCATCATCATCGTGCCACCACCATCATCGTAAATATCATCGTCATCACCATCATATCATCAACCACATTGTCATCCTTATCATCATCAACAACATCACCATCATCATTATTACCGTCATCATCATCATCATCATTATCACCATTACCGGCATCATCAACAGCAACATCCAGGCCCGTAGCCAGACTTCCAAGGGGGTGCTCTATGGCTGTCTCTTATAGGGGGGGAGGGGGGGGGGGTTTGGGGGAATCCTCACCCAGAAAATTTTTAAATCTAGAGGCTGTGAATGATGATGTTTTAGCATAAAAAAGTTAAGGCTGACACCCTTGCATATGCTGAATATGAGTATCACGATTCAAAGGTGTATACACAGGACGAGATGATATTTTGACCATGATTCGCTCTAGAATCAAGATAGGCAAGAACATTCGCCCGAACTAAAAGTTAATATCAGTGTCACTGCATGAGTTAACAAGGGTACGAGATGAATAAAAGGCATAATTAGGTGATGTCTTTAGCATTAAATCTACTCATTGAGTATGCTCGTCAGCTCGTTTGGCCTGAGATAGATCCACAGGCCACAGGATATAGGTCTAGCAGCTCTATGAGAAAAATATTTGGCCTGGAAAAGGGTGACCCCAGCCAAGGGGGGGGGGGGTCGTCCGACCCCTCCGACCCCCTTTGGCTACGGGCCCGACATCGTCCTCGTCACCGCGCCGCGCGCCGTCGTCGTCGTTATTACATACCATTATTGACATTGCTATTAAAATAAAAGCGGTAGATAATAATGCCGCTATCACTATACCTTTTGGTTGATCTGCAAATGTGTGCTTCTTTTCACCTAGAATATTGGCAAGTTTGCTTAAGTCTATGTCAGAGGTTTCTTTCCACCTATCCGCCATCACGATCGAATTAAGTCTGTACTTTTGACTCATCTTCAATTTATCGAATTCACCAGCTGAAATTTCCGAAAATGTCAACTGACCCAGTGGCGGTAAGCCTCTGGTTGTTGGGTATCGGAATGAGGATGCCGGATGTGAAGGACGATTCCAGTAAATACGAGAGATACACTTAGCGGGTGATTCGGCAAAATTCGGGGACGTAAATGCTAAGCCCTTGTCGGTGCCTGCGTCTATTGGGTAGAGGTTGAACTTGGCTGATCTGGACCAACCTAGACCATCGTGGAGATTGATGCTATCTACACCCACAAACCAGTCTGGACTAGGAATTATCTTGACAACAAGAGATATCTGAAAAAAAGTGCAGTATACATATGGTGGTTTTTTTTTTTCAATATTAATGTTAATTTTTAAGTAGTGGCTATATCTACGCCGAATTATGCAAATCCCAACACGCTGATTGGTCGACTTGGCTTTACCCTACCCAAAAAACATAACTCTGCCTATCTTAATGCATTGCAGCATGACGTGGCGTAGATGCAGCCACTTTGTAATTTTTATTAACTTTTCTGTCGATTGATGGCGGTGATCGGGTGGGTACCATTTGCTTTTTAAACGCCAGCCGCCCTAAAGAAATACAATTTTTTTTTGTCTCATGTTCTCGTTTCGTCTATTGGGTAGAGGTTAAACTTGGCTGATCTGGATCAACCTAGACCATCGTGGAGACTGATGCTATCTATACCTACAACCAGTATGCATTTTGTGGGGTTTTTTCAATATATTGTTCACTTTTATTAAATTTTCTGTCGATTGATGGCGGTGATCGGATGGGTACCACTTGCTTAAATACAAAAAACGCCAGCCACCCTAAAGAAATACTTTTTTGGTCTCGTGTTCTTTGATCGTCTTATTGTTAAGAGTCTTAAAGCAAAGATTCTGAATTAAACCAGAACACATTGGTAGATACCATAACGATACTTGTGATACTGGATGGTATGTCTTGTGATATCCTCTTATTAGGCGTGGGGGTGTGCATGTAACCATCTTTTCGGCAGATGAGCAACATGTGGGGCGCTGTTTCTTATTCGTAGTCAATATTATAGATTTTTAATAAGGTTTTTCATTGGATGTAGCCAATTTTGTTGTTGTTATATTTGTTATTATAGTAACTATAATTGCATTAGCATTAACAATGCTCCAAACGTAAATACTTTTAAAAAAACTTGCAACAAAAAGGTGAAAATGCCACTCTTCAAGCATCTTTTATGAGTACATTCAGTGCCAAATACCAAATAAAAGGATTCCGAATTATTTAATATTTATAAACTGATTATGAATTATTCCGGTCTCTGAATATGATAACAAATTAATATATTTAAGGCCTATACTATTATAGTGGTAGTTTTACGTGTTCACTATTTGTTAAGTATTCACACTAATGCTTGCAAAAATATAAACAAAACATCCTATGAACATAATGTGCTGGTTGTTGAGCAGCGCCTATCGGCAAATATAATGGAACTTACTTTTGGACAAATACATTTGAGTGATTTTATATTTCGCTTTGATGTGTCCGTAGGCCGTTCGAAAGTCATACCACCTATTTATGGAGTGAAACATTAGCAATGCCACTTTCAAATTATAGAAATAAATAATATATAATCATTATTCACACCTTCGTCGTTTTCGAATGTAAAGCGAATACCGCTGACGATGTTCCTGTACCCTCCGATAATGCGTTAGCTCCGAAGACAGAAAAGATGGCTGAGTTCTGAGAAAGCTCGTCGGTAAGATGTGAAGTTAAACCGTCTTCTGCAAATCTCTTTAAACCTTTGGTAGCAAGATGGCCTATTTGCCAAATGTGAAAGTTTTCGGTGTGTGTTGCGCCTGTCCAGAAATAAAAGGATTATAGAAGTGAATGGATTACTTTTGTAATTTATTATAATATTAGGCCATATATATTCATTGTTTATTGATCTAATAATATCACTATAATGCAATCTGCTTTATCAAACACTGTTGAGTCTGACAAACATCTTTATCATGAAGAATAGATATAATAAGAATAACAACAACAACAACAACAATAATAATAATAATAATAATAATAATAATAATAATAATAATAATAACAGTAAAAATAATAATAATAATAATGGGTGATGATAATAATAATTATTATTATGTTACTGAAACATAATACTACTATTTATTATTATTATTATTATTATTATTATTATTATTATTCAATAATGAAAGTCATCAGCTTTATCATTTCTGTATGGATAGGTCTAGAAAGTTATTCCAGTGAGGTTCCCTGTTGTCTTGCAGCGCACTTGTCATCATCAATTACAAGTCTTGGATTATCTATTTGGAGGGTGATTCAAGCACTGTATCATCATACCATAGGTCACCTACAGGGAATAGTTTTTTTATTGCATCTACGAAACCATATCACCTTACAGAGGATCCAGCGGCGACGGGCCTATATATGACCTACAGGCCCAGACCCAGCACAGTCAAGTTCATTTAAAAGTTAACGGATTCTACCTCATTTTTCTAACCCTAAACACAATGTTATATAAGACGCCGCTCCGACGGTTAAGCCCACCAATGTAGTAACATTGTTCCAGAAATGAAACAATTCTCGATAAATTGCCTAGAATTGCAGTTGTAACTATATGATGGTGCTCCAAGATATAGGCCAGCGTTTGTAGTTAGTTGATCATTACCCTCAAGTCAAACATCTAGAGTAGACAGCTCCAATAGACTGAAGACGAATCAAAGGAGAATTATTATAAATATTTGTAATATAAGATGGGTTATTAGAGCGTGTAAAAATCCAATATCATTAGGTGTTAAGATAACAGACGATCATTCATCGGGCGATCTCCAGGTGTGTACCCGCACACATAGACCCCCGCCATTTCAAATTATTTTAATTCATTGTTTATCGCCTTCATCGAACGTGGTTTGTTGGGTACAGCAAAATACTGTGATGTAGGTCTCATCATCTTAAATTTATAATTATATTATTATAATACATTTATGTTATAAAATATATTTTTCGGTAGCACTAATAATACGAAAAGTTAAAAAAATTTCAAAATTTGTCGGTTAAAAAAACAAGCAAACAAAAAGGACCTGCACTTGGAACTTGGAAGTTGATACCAGGGGATTATACAGAGAATGTATAGCCTAAAGTAGCATTTTGTAAATTGCGTCTCTACAAAAAAACAAAAAAAAATCCGTAAATTTTCAAAGAAGACTAGAAACAAGAGGAGAAGAAGAACGAGGAGGACAAGGAGGAGGACAACGAGGTAGAGGATGATGGAGGAAATATGATGGATCATTTAATTTTAGTAAATTAGGGAGACTTAGATTGCGCTTTGTATACCGTTGGAAAGACAGATTACGAGTGCGAGTAAATAATGAAAATGTATTAAACATTTTAAAAAGAAAAGTTGAAGGATGAGGGTAGAGGCAGTGGCGTATCTAGGAGTATTGAAATGGTGGGGGCAGGGGGAGGCTCGATGATTACTAGTGAGGGGGCGATAGTGATGTGGCCTTTGATCTAGGCCTACTTGAGCGTAATTTTATTTGCTTTCAACACTTTCAATTGGGTTTGGGGTTTTTGCAAGAGGATGTGCACCCCATCGTCCTCCCCTAAATACCCCACTGATTTTATGGAACACAGAAGCGATTGTAAGAGAGAAAGAGAACAGAAACGACCTGAACAACATCGAAAGAAACAGAACTTTACCAGAAATGCAATGAAAATCGGAAAACTGCTGGAAACTTCCAAAAATGGCAGAGTTAATAGGCCTACTTAAAAGTGTTTCTAGGGTCTGGCTGCGGTGGTTTGAATTATTGGCGATGGCTAACAGCCCATGGTGTTTGTCCCTGAATATTTCATGATGGGTAATTCCAACGACTAGTAAAAGCTATTTCCCTCATTGCGAGGGTATTTTTGGCAAGTACAATCGCTGTTGGATAAAAATTGATTATAAATATAGATATGAATCGGTTCTGTTCAAAATTAATATTACTTGAATGTAGCATAAAATGGAAAGGTTTTAAGTTGTGAATATTAAAACATTTGGGAATGACTCTCCATTCTCCTGATGAGCAATCTATTCGAAACGTCGAGATACTGTATCAACACGTCAGTTCTTTCCAAAACGTGGTAATTTTTAAATAGTAGTATAGTATTGTAATGACGCACGTGCGCCTAGAATGTCGATGCCAGAGTTATAACCTTTGATGTCCCGAGATGTGCGTCCTTTTGTTAAATTACCTTGGTTCTTTCCAAAACGAGGTAATTTTGATATAGTAGTATAGTATTGTAATGGTATAAATTGTTTCACTATAATAATTGTAAGTACATGTAAATTAAAGAGCGATATGTAAATGAATCTAATAATGTAATAATTGTAAATATAATAATATAGGATTTTTATATTGAATCATTATTTCATAATGTTTTAGTTATTTTTTATTAATGTTTACAGTAATGATTGTCCCATTTTATTGATTGTAATTTTGAGAATGTTCTGTGTCCTTCCTCAGCGTTACACTTATGACTGAAAAATACAGAGCAATTAAAATAAAAACTGTAAGAAATTAAGCGAGATAAATCCTAAGATTATAGGCACGCAATCTTATGTCTCTATTATATTCGTATTTCCTTATATTTATAAGCAATGGTGCCGTGTTAATTTAGGTTCGTCATTGACATTTAGCATCATACTTTAATCATTCTTTTTCTCTTTTTTTTTGCTATTTGTTATGGTTCAATTCAGATTTAGGCATACTTACAAAGTAATGTGTCCCATTTGTTCACTCCATTTCATCACGGTTTGTTGCGTGCATTGCAAGCTCAGAATTTTACTTTGACTTTGAACATTGATGATGGCAGCAAAATCTGCCAAAATGTTGAAATAATAACAAAGTGAGAGCAGCTTTAGTTGGCTGCTAAACATGTGGAATAGTCACTGTTTGTACTGCCTTCCAATCCAGTTCCGCATATTGATTTAGACATTTAATACCCTAGTTATATCTCCTGCCTGTTGATATTTCAACTTCTACCTATTCTCTCCGTTCTGTTACTGGTTCCTTTCTTTTTGTTCCCAAATCCAACAAATTTGTTGGTGATAAATTGTTCTCTTCCTCTGCTCCAAAACTGTGGAATAATCTTTCTGTTTCCATCCGAAACATGCTAGAAGTATTGAAGTCTTTAAAAAACGCTTGAAAGCACACTTATTTGCTAAATAATCATTTATTATTATTATTATTATTATTATTATTATTATTATTATTATTATTATTATTATTATTATTATTATTATTATTATTATTATTATTATTATTATTATTATTATTATATTATTATTACGTGGAGGTGTCACAAATTGTCTTATTCCCGGTTAAGAATCATTGTGTTTCAAAATCAAACATTAAATTTTGATATAGCATTTTTGAAAAACAACAGTTCATTAAATATTATATTGATTAATTTAATATTAAAATGCGATGATAGGTTTTTAAGTAGGCGATTTTAATGAAATCGTTATGAAAATCTTGATGTTCACCATGTTCACCAGTAATTTTTCTTTATGTAATTCATGTCGTTTTTTTAAAATTGTTTTTAAATAACAAATCATTTTTTAAAACAACATTTTAATTGTTCTGATGCTATTTGTGATTCTTACACCAGGCTATTTGTTAAAATTATTTTAATTTTAATTTTTTTTTTAATACAAAAATTACTTTTTAGACTGCCTAACTTGTACCTTTTAAATTATACCGAAATACAGTAAATTATAGTTAACAAAAATAGAATATAAGATACCGTATTAGTTTTTACTGTCAGTCTTTTTTCAATATCTGCTGATCCCTTTCGTGCCGATCGTATCATTACAGTACCAATAAAGGTCACACCTCTCTGAAACCAATGCGATTAAATGGTGTGTATCATTGCTCATGTAATATGAAAATAGTTTCGAGTATTATAAAATTACTTGACTCCAAAAATCCAAATTGAATTTGGTGTCCTTATGAGGAAACGCCTCGAAAGTTACAACTTAATTTTCTACACTTAACAGAACAATGGAATTATTTTGGTAAGAGCCGCAGAGAACAGTGAACCAAAAATAACTACCATATGAAAATAGAACAGAAAATTCTTCGGATAAACTATGGTATTTACAGAAGCACCATTCCCATTGAGAAAACTGCAAAGTCCTGTAACTGAATTTATAATGGACATGTTTCACGCTGAGGTACGCACTTAAAAGTATTGAATGAAACGAGAGCAGTAAAGTGTCTCGGCGTCCTCGTAACGAGGTATCCGTCGGGCGGGTCCAGCATTTTGTGAATGGAGTGGGGGAAGGGGGAGGGTGGAGGTGCACAATGTTGGAATAAAGTGGTCTGGACGGAGCTCGATGTGACTCCACAGAACATTTTGTTTCCTGTAGATGCCAAAGTATTGCTATTTTCTGTAATCAGAGTGGTTTGTTAATGTATAATGATGACAATGATAGTTGTATAGAAGCTTAGCGCTGTTAGCACTGGTATCCACTTCCTTGTATCCGCTGAATCATGAATATACACTACATAAGTACATATTTTGCTTAGACAACAGGAGGTCCAGGGTTCAAATCCATGTTTGGGGTATTTTTTTGTACTCGCAGATTCTTTTTTTAAGTTAAAATGTATATATAGGCCTATATATATAGTATATATAAGCCTATATATGTATATAGCATTACTGCAAAACGATATATATATATATATATAAATCAAGAGAGGGACGAAAAGCATGAAATGAATTCATAAAATAAAACATCCACGACTTCGTAGATTTTTAAAAATATGACATATTATTAATATTAATTTATTTGATGAAATATAATTAAATAATGGTAGAAAGTCATAATTATATAAATATCGTACCGTATCGAGTATAGCACCAACGAAAAAAATAGTATATATAGATCTACTGAAATTATTACATAACGTATACAACCTCATATTCTACACATTTTGTTATATAACAAATAATACAAACATGGATTACTTACCTATCATTGGCGACCACTGTGCGTGCTTCCTATAAAGTGGGTAGTGTTTGGGAAACAGCCTCTGGGACCAGTTGGCGTCAAAAGACATCATGTCAATATTTTTACAAATTCAAAAGTGCACAATTTCTCCTATAAATGATTTATTCCTTTTGTATATTATTAAGACTGTAGGTAGGGGCTTACTACAGTAGGCCTATTACTAGCGTTTGATATTATCTGCATACATAGATTCCTGTTTTTCCTAATTTCAAAAAAATTATAGTTAGTCAATTGAATTTTTTTTATAGCTGTTATTAAACAATAATTACAGCCTTTGACATGGATAGGTCTATCTATTTCAACTTAGTAGTGATCTCGCCATGACGTCATGATATGATAAATTAAGTAAATCACCTTCATGTTTGTGAAATAAAAATGTTAACTAATTTTTTGTGTGCTTCCTACAGTATCTTTCTAGTCTTGTTTGATTGTAAATTAGACGGTAGTATTTCCACTCACAATAATGTCTGTCTCTTATACACATCTTAATAACAAAAACGGAAGACCACTACCATATAAATATAATTCTGATCAAAGAGGAAAGTAAGTTATACTTTTATTTTGTTATTGTTCCTTTTATTAATTTTCTAAAATGGAATGACTGGCTTGAGAGCCAAAGTTTCTTTTAACTGTGTCATTCTTTGCCATCTTGGATTGATAATTTATATATTGTTTCATTGGTAAAATAAAGAATAAGTAAATAAAGTAAGTAAAAATAGTTTCAATAACTTGAAGAACAAAAACTGCCAAATTGACGATTAAAAAAAACCCCATGATACATTGTTTATTTGACTCAAGTTGTATTAGTTTTTCAAGATCTCTTAGGTGTTTTCATTTCAGATGGAACCTAGATCGTTTTGTAGTACTGAGGGGACTTGATCTTGTCACTACGAGCATTACATGTTAGTGTAAACTTAAAACATTAAATGGCTGGTGAAAATTCACATGATCTCCAGAGGACGTTATTATTTGAAAGTTGTTCAGTATTATTATTCTGTTGTTGCCAAACATTCTTGATATTTTTGGTAACATATTTTAAAGATTTTCTAAGACATTTACGATAGTATTCGGTTTATTATTCTTTTCAAAATTCCCTCCTAATATTGTGCTTACACGCCGCAGCAGCACCTATAACTCCACGTCCTTTTCTCAAACTAATTTAAAAAAAATATTTTTTCATATTCAGCTTTATAGGCATAGTCAATGATATGCCAAACAGTGAACTTAATCACTTTTCAAAGTGGATCCCGTCACAAGACAAACATACACGCAAGATACTCTACATAAGACTAAGTCTCTCATTATGATTCTTAAGGAGTATAGAGTTGTCTTGTTCGTGAGAAAAAATCCTGTTACCTTGACAGGAATTGAACCAAACTCCACTCCTCAAATCTGAATTCGCCATTACCATCCGTTGTCTAAAACGACCGATGGACATTCACGCTTTTATCGCAATAACCTCGGTGACTTCTGCCAGAATCTGAACTACGAAATTTTCTCCGTGGTCTAATCAGCTCGTCATGGAAAATATCGAGAGACTGTATCGCAATACTTCCCGTAAAAATAGTAATATGTTCGCAGGTTAGGTAGTGGACTCGAGTATTGTATTGCAGTATTTGCATGCTCTACCTGTATTTTGTAGCACTGAAGTGACTAATTTTCAGACAATTGTTTATTAGATTTGTATTTTAATGTTCACAATTTGAGTAAAATAAGCAACCAAACGTTATTCGTTATTTCGTCTCATGGTAATGACAATAAAGTTTATATGATCAGTTCGCTGATAGAGGGCGCTATTTACAATCCTTATTACATGAAAATATTGTCACAATTGTGATTTATTAGTTAGTCAATTATAAGTACTCATTGCTACAATATTTTTTTTTCTAATTATATCATATGCTTTATAATCATTTGGGGGATTCCTTGGTAACCGGCGTTACAATTCATCCTTTAATTATAGTCACTTTATATTAAAAACATGAAAAATCTACATGGAATTATTTTTTATTGCTACATGGTAGTACTATGAGAATGAAATATAGGAATTAAAAATGTTTATGTCCAAGAGATAGACAAAAATAGGATATAACTAAAACTTTGATTAGAGCATCGCTTTGGCCTTTTTTTTTCGACTTTGCGTAAAATATAAATGGTTCTGTTTCGAATTTTCAATTTTCGTATGCAGGTCTCCGTTTTCAAATATAAAGAACAGCAGCACCACCACCACCACCACCACCACCATTCTTTCATATAAATTATCCTATCTAACAATCATTCATTTGTTTTAAGATAAAAAAAAAGGCAATAAAAAATCAAGCAAGACTACAATAGCTAGGTGCCAGCAGCTTAAAAAGCAAAATAATATAACAATAAAAATAAAAAATAAAATAACTTCTAAAACTCTGGAGAGTCAGCTGCCGGCTCCTCTTCCTAGATTGTGCTTCTCAACACATTATAAATCCTGCAATGAAGCATGTCATGCGCAGATACCAAAATGTCCACGAAATTGTTAAAGCGGAACTCTCAGCAAAATTAGATATAAGATCCTGAGAAGGTCCATGAAACCATTCATGCGTTAACTCAGACATATAAAGATGTGGGCTAAATCACTCGTGCGGAACTCTGCTATGCAAAGTTGTAGGCTCATTGTGTGTACTGTAGCGTGTACCTAAATACAACGGTGGGGAAAAACTAGAAGATGTAACAGCAGTATGTTCTATTAACTAAAAACTTAAAATGGGTTATACTGAGCCGATTTTCACCCGTTCAAAAGTCGATATGAGGTGATATAAGTTAACGTTTATTAAGATTTTTGGAAAGAAAATTATGAAATTATGTCTCTAAATAGAAGTTCATATGCATCAGCCGAATGTAGTACAATTGTTTATCAGTGTGATTAATCTGCTCAATAAACAATTTTAATTACTTTTGCAAATATAAAGATGTGGGTAACCCACATCTTTATATACGACTTTTCATGGATCTCGACCTGCTATGTAGGCCCTCTTTAGGCTAGTTAGTCTAGACGCGCCTAGACGGTTGGAAGTGACGATCGAAGAAAAACGGTTAAGCAAGCCAAGGACTTCGCTAACTTCCATTCCTCAGTATTAAAATCCTTCCATTGATGGGCACTGTCTAAAACTTTCTTCCAGCTTATCTCTGAAAAGATTGTAACCTTTTCGTATGCAGTTGGCTCAACATGAATTACACAGGAGCCAGTGAGCTTCCATGACGGCCTAGGCTCGGTCTGACACGTTGTTGTTTGTTGTTATTTCGCGACGTCATCAACGAGTACAATACATTCATTATCCACCATCAACTAAATTGCCTTAAAGGAAAAAAAATTGGTTCTTGTTAGATTCTATTCTAAAAAAAAATAATTAAAAAAAAAAAATTTTTTTTTTTTCCAAAAAAAAAAAAAAAAAAAAAAAAAAAAAAAAAAAAACTGGCTCGTGTGGGGATCGAACCCACGACCTTCAAAAAAAAAATAATAAATAAATAAAAAAATTTAAAAAAAAATTGCCCCGTGTGGGAATCGAACCCACGATCGCCGAGTTTAATACCCATGATCCAGCATGACTAAACGGAGGGAGGTAAACCGCAGCCCCTAAGCCATAAATGCGATAAACCTAGTACCACACCAAGTACCAGTTAGTCAACTTTGATCCTACTAGAAAAATTTCTTCGTATATATATAATGCAGGTTAATATTACGCATGGTCATGGTGTCAAAATTGGGCCATGGGCCAAGAGGGTTTATTTTTTGTCTACAAATATAGAATTAAATTTATAATCGATTTTTGATTGTTACCATCTCCATAACTTACGCACTTTTTTTTAAATAGACAAAAATGTTTGAAAAATTCGTTATGCAAATTAGAAAAAAAATAGACTAATCATATTACGGGAAACCTGGTGGTTGTGTGTTCAATTCCCACACGAACCAATTTTTTTTTTAAGGAGTTTAGTTGATGGTGTATAATGAATAGCAAACCTGGAGGTTGTGTGTTCGATTCTCACACAAACCAATGTTTTTTTGGTTTTTTTTAAGGCAGTTTAGTTGATGGTTGATAATGAATAGCAAAACCTGGTGGTTGTGTGTTCGATTCCCACACGAACCATTCTTTTTTTTTTTTTGTTAAGGCCAGGGCTTCCAGACCTCTGACAATGGCGGAAGCCTATACCAAAGCTTCGCATTTTTGCGGGCATAATGCCTAGACAAGATTGTTCATTCATATTGAAATTAATGTTTTGATGGTGATTTTTTTTTCATCCAATGGGAATTCATATTCTGGTTTAATTTAATTAATTTGTTGATGTTAAAGATCAAGTTTAATTTTTATACTTATCTTCTAATTGTATGTACTGAGGGTCCCAATTGATCAGCTCAGGCTGGATGGACCACTCTCACAAAATATTGTTTAAATAAATAATTTTATATAAGAAGAATCTATGAATATTCAGCTTTCCGTTTACTGGGGAATGAACAACAAGATATTTGATTGGTGAACAGCCGAAATGGCAATTTAAAGCCAACGAAGTCGCTAGAGGTAATTTTTTTTTAAGGCCAGGGCCTTCAGACCTCTGAAAATGGTGGCAGAAGGCTAAGCTTCGCATTTTTGCGGGCATAATGCCTAGACAGGATTGTTCATTCAAATTTAAATTTGTGTTTTGATGGTGATTTTTTTCATCCAATTGCAATTTATATATTTTATATGAGAAGAATCTATGAATATTCAGCTTTCCGTTTACTGGGGGGAATGAACAACAAGATATTTGATTGGTGAACAGCCGAAATGGCAATTTAAACGAACTCACTAAAAAGAGGTCAAAATGCAGCCTCTACGCGCGGTGAGCGGTCAGCATAGCACCAATAGAAAAGTGAAAAATTACGGTGACCTTTTTCAATACAATTGAAACAAATACTAAAGCAATCAGAAAAG